ATGATGTTTAATTTTAACCCATAAAGCTAACTATAGTAATGCCACCCTTCTCAAAGTCAAACACCAGGCAACTTCAATCATCTGCAATAGCCATGGATCCAGCTTTAAATTTCCCAAAAAACCATGCTGAGCTGTCACAAACTACCTTCATGGGCATATTTCCCAGAAGGAACAGACCCAGGCACACTGACTTAGAGTTGTCTATAAATGACAGATACCTGGCTTTCCCAAGTACCCTTCATCTTTACTGTATAAGGGAATAGCTGGATAAAAACCAACAAAGTAGGAAAAAAGGAAGAAAAAATTGCTAAAAGTTGGCCACTGAAGAGATGAAATATCAGTATAGCAAAAGCACTACCAACGCACAGCAGTCTGAAGCCACTGACTGGAACGACAAACGTGTTAACAGTTTCAGACTATATGAAGCAAAGTAAAATGATTACATTTTAATGATTCCTGCTTACGATGATAAAGTTAAATTATATTCAGACACATTATTTAGTAAAGAATAAAGAAAGATTCATGTTAAATCTTTCAATGCTTAAAAGGATAAGCTTCAGGTATAAAAAATATTTATATAAAAAAGTCATGTAAATAAGGAATTACCATTGCCTTATTCTGCACAAATGGTATGTTATTTGATAAAGCAAAGGGAATTCTGAAGGAAAAAACATTTTAAATTATTTGAAAAATATCTGTATACAAAACGTCCTCATTAGTTTTGTTCCCCAATTTCTCACAGATATTTGATCATTCCTTATTAAAATCTACTCAATACATATATTATGTATTTATGAGGTTGCTGTCTTCCTTGTCACCTCAGAATTCGTCTTTTCAACAATTCCCATACTCTTTCCTCTAAGCTCAGAGTAAGAAGCTACTTATTTCCTTTCCAAAACTAAATTTTCCAACTTGGTATTCTATTTAAGGAGCTTCTGTCTTCTATAGGACCTTGGTCCTTCACTCGCAGAAATACCAGTCTTAGCCCCCAACTCCCAAAACATTAAATCCTTCCTCACTCTTTGCCAACTTGACTTGATCATATCTTTCTCTTTAATACTCAAGTTTTCTTCTTCCTTTCACTTTGTCAAAGTTCTTAAATCAATGCATATCATTTTCTCTAATTCTACCAACACCAGAGTTTCAAAATCCAAGGGCCTTTCTATCTCCTCATTTTCCTTGCTTTCTAAGCAACATATGAAAATTGTTTTTTTGGTTTTCACAATGTGGTAGTATCCTAACTCCTTTAATGAAACTCTTTCCTTCTAATGCCCTTTATTAATGTAGAAGCTCCCTAAGAAAGAAGCAGCATCAGCCATTTGCTCTTCCGTGTGATTCTGCCCACTGTCACGATGTGGGTGATCACCCCCTATGCATGACTGCCTACTGTCTCTCCAGCGTGACCTCTCCCTAGAGATGTAATCACCTTAGCTGTCCATTGGAGACCGCCTGATATTCCCAAAATAAACAAGGCTAAAAACAGAATTTACATTTGTCTGCCCCATGCTTGACTTCTCTTCTTAAATTCCTGTTTTTCTTCCATCCTTCTCCCAGTCACCCATGTTTATCCAAATCATCTCGGACTCCTCTATTCCCTCTTCCAAATTCAAATATTCACCAAGTTTTATCAATTCTTCCTTCATAACATCTCTCATATTTGCCATTTTCTCCCTATTGTTATAGCCACTATTCCAGTCCTGGCTTTAACCTCTTCATATCTGGATCACTATAAAAACTGCTCACCCAAGCTATAGCCTTCCCCACTTTCCATTTTCTAATCTATACTGAACATAGCCACTAGATTAGTTTTTCTAAAATACCATTGAACACATATCACACCCTTTCTCAAAAATTACTTAATGACCCCACTATCTGTCGTATAAAACTCAAATTCCTAGGGTCAGGCCGGTGGCGTAGTGGTTAAGTTCCCACGCTCCACTTCAGCGGCCCAAGGTTCCGGGTTTGGATCCCGGACGCCGACCTACTCACCGCTCATCAAGCCATATTAAGGCAGCATTCCACATAGAAGAACTAGAAGGACCTACAACTAGGACATACAACTATGTACTGGGGCTTTGGGGAGAAAAAAGAAAAAGAGGAAGATTGGCAACAGATACTAGCTCAGGGCCAATCTTCCTCAAAAAACAAACAAAACAAAAACCCTCAAATTCCTTAGCCTGGTGTTCACGTCCTTTTCATCAGTTTTGTTTTAGCTATTTTTCCAGATATTTCCCACTACTCTCCAACCCAAATATTTTGTTCAAAAAGGCTAAGCCAATTAATTCACTGTCTCAAGAATATATACTGTACATGCCTTTGTTTAGATCCTTCTCAACATCCTCTGTTCCCAATCTATCCACACATTTTTGAGAGTAGTTTCAGGTAGTAGGCAAACGCGTGGACTCTGGGGCCAAAATCTGGGTTCAAATTCCAGGTCTGCCATTTATGGAGTGACTATTAAGCAAGTTACTTAATCTTTCTGTACCTGGGTTTCCTCCTCTATAAAAGGGGGATAATAACAGTACCTATCTCATAGGGCTGTTGTGAGGATTAAGGAAGTGAATATATTTAAAGTTCCTGGCACACAGTACTACTATATAAATATTAGCAATTATTAATATTTCAAGGCTGAGCTCAACTGACACGCCTCCATGAAAGCTTTCTTGATAGCTCCAATCCACAGTGATCTTCTGTCTTCTCTGTTTCCAAAACATTTATTGTAAACCACAAAAGTTTAAGTATAAAAAACAGTTTCTCAATAGTGGCACTATTGACATTTGCGTCAGATAATTCTCTGTTGTGGGGGCTGTCCTTGCACTGCAGGATGTTTAGCAGCATCCCTAGCCTTTACCCATCAGATGCCAGCAGTAACCCACCCTCTAGTTGTGAAGCCAAAAATGTCTCCAGACATTGCCAAATTGCCCCTGGGGGACAATACTGTCCAGTTGAGAGCCATAGTATAACACAACATAAAATACATGAAAGCACTTTGTGACCTCAAAGCAACACACAAGGGTCAAGTATTATCAGCACTCAGCACTTATCAAATATGCTTTTGTATTATTTAATTCATTTGTAATTCATATGTACTTTCATTGTCCAATTAGTTTTAATATCCTTTAGTACATAACTCATGTTTTATTTATTCATTTCCACAATCACAACCAACCGAAGCCCTTGGACATTTGTTGATTGATAGATAAGACATAGATAACCTGAGACAGAACACAGTGAACCAGAAAGAGCATGGGATTTGCAGTCAGAAGATCAGGTACAAATCTTAGCTTTGCCCTTACTTATTTTAGAACTTTGGGCAATTCATTAAAGTCTATGAGCCTCAGTTTTCTGATCTATAAAATGTAACATCTATACAGGCTGGCTATGATGTTCAAATGTGATCAAGTATGTAAAAGAACCATGTATATTGCAGAATTATTACATACACAGAATCCTGTGAGTAAAAAGAGAAAAATGATTATTATACCATAATAACTCTTTTATCTAGAATCATTAGGGACTTTCTTTATAACCTTATTTTCTAGGTCACTGAAGCTTATGCCTTTAAGTATTTAACTTTGACATTTAAACTATTTTGGTGGAAGTTTTCTGCTTTCAGAAGTACTATATCTTCTTCTTTCTTCTAAAACAATAGGTACTGAATATAATTTAACTTTTCCTTACTGACTCTGGGCCATTGTTATAAACACTGATTATCATTCAGCTTGTATTACACTCCCTCCGAGATGATCAGATGTGCAATATCGCTGACCTCTTTGATGGACAGAATCAGAGGTACTGTGCCTCATTTTGTTCCACTGCAGCCCTCATGCCTCTCTGTGGCCCCTCTAACTCTCCAAGGATTAGAACACTAAGTGATTACGTTTGTTAAAGTAGAATACAAAATGAGGAAAAACAGACTTTGAAAGAGGGCTCCGGAAGTACTCCTATGACTCAAGTTCACAAACTTAACTGGGAAACTTCACAGCATCTACTCGGGCTGCTCAGAGGTATTTTTGACTTACTTTCTGGTTCTCAGTGGTGTTCTAGATAGCTGAAATTGCTAGGAAAGCAATTTCTTTTTCTACTCTAAATAGGTATGCGTAGAGATAGTACCATATGTTGTAATACATACAAATATATATATAATAGAAATATACATAGAACTAACCTACTTATATTTTTAAAATCTTCAGTGTTTCCTGATGCCACTCAAAAAAAAAAAAATGCCTTATTGATTTAAAGCTACAACAAAGCAAACATACTATTTGAAAGAAGAAAAAAAAAGAGCCAGAATTCATGTGCTAAGTCCCATAAGCAAACCAAAAAGGAAACGAAAATAATATTATTAAATTTCCTTCACAATCTCTTTACTGAATTCTTATTCTCATGCCTACTTTTCTACCTGAACTGATAGGAAGACATACAGAAAGGTCAATATTTTCCAGTTTAAAAAAATTCATTCATCTTTAGTCATAAGCCAACATCAAATTTCAGACAAAAAGGAAAATTTAATAAATTTAACAGGAGAAAATCAAAGTCAATTGAAAATTGCTTTGTGAGTCAGGAGCATTTTGTTCTTATGCTTGTAAATTATATGGGCCACAGAAAAACCTGTTCCCCTGACACTTCCAGAACACTTGTACTATTTTTAGATATACAATATAAATAGTAGTAACATAGGTAATAAAAGCAAAGTCATCTTTAATAAGTCATGATAATTTACCTTTCTCAGACGTTGTAAAACATATAAGATAAGGGGGGGGAGTGAAAGTGGGGAGGAAAAAGATAAATCAAAATATTATACTTTTTTAAAAAGGCTTTTTTTGGTTTGTTTTAAAAACTTTTAGTGGCTCAAAACTAAATAAAAGGTGAAAGAAAGCGAGAGAGAGAAAGAATGGAAGGAAGGAAAGGGAGGGAAGAAGAAAACTAGAAAGAGAGAAGAAAACATGGCATATCTAACATACTTAGAAGCTACTGGATAAAATTATCTAGCCTTGTACCTGACAACCGTAGTCCAAAAGAAGCTGCAGTATATCCAAGTTTTCGTTTTCAATAGTTATGGTAACAGCATTTCTCCCAAGCACATCTACGCAATTTATGTTCAAGTCACCTGAACTGTTTTCCTCCAAAATCTTTTTAACCATATAATAGTCACCTAAATAACAATATACAAACATAATTTAATATCCATGACAAAAATAAGAATGACTGTAAAGAAAACTTAGCTTGTTGATTTAAAAGATTTAAAAACCTAAACTCATTTTCATATATGGAAATATGCAAAGAAAATGTGAATATTTCCTTGCTGAAAACTGACATCCTGATAAAATAATTTGTACATCAGCTGTAAACATAAAAAGTAGAAAAAATTTAAATGTGCAGTTTGAAATAAAAGTTGTTAGTTAAAATTCATAACTGATTGATTATAAGAAAGAAGAGAAACTTTTCGAGGATATTGAAAGCAATAAAGAATGTCCAAAAACACAGACTGGAAGCTAGAAAAATAAGAGAAGAAGCTTAAAGGATTTAAGTTTTACATCGCAAACACATACACACATTTACGCACACACCATAATGGTTAAAAATGAGATCTAGTGATAAGTGGAAGATCTTAAAAGAGGTTTTAGAGGGAAAACATACTGTGGAAAAGCAGTGTGAATGTGGATATGCTTGTGTGTATGAACAGTAAGAGGGAATGATGCCCCAAATTCCCTCTCCTCCTCCCCACTCTCCCAAGACACACACACACACACACACACACACACACTCCTATCTTATTAATGCAGCTGTTTAGATTAAATGACCAGGGAACACTCAGCTCATAAAACTCTAAGGCAGGAGTAGGATTAATGCTGATAGAGACCAAAGTCAGAATATTTCAAAGAGCAATTTTGACCTATCAGGAGCATGCATATTACCTTCCGCCTAACTCTAGTCCACATCAAAACAGCTGACCCATGGGGGAAAAGGAGAATAATGATGGAGGTAATCATTTTCACAGAGAGCCCACTATATTTGTTTGCTGAACAGCTGGTGCAGTAATAAGGGGAATAAATCAAAACAGAAATGCTAATTAAATAGAGAAAGAAAGCAAGGTGGCTTTTGTTTTATTTCATTTTACTTTTTAAACATAAAATGAATAAACCATTTTAAGTGCTTTGCAAATATAGTTGTTCCTTGGAAGTCTATGAATAAGCAACAGGAAAAGAACATAGTAGAAACGAGAAGGAAAAGGAAATGAATGATTTCATGATACAGAAAGAGAAAATACTAAAACTGGACTGAGTGAATAACAAAGGTAACAGATTTTTTTTGTTAAAATTTCAAATAAATTTGCTATTATTTTAACTAATGACTTTCAAGTCCCTACGCATTTTGGAAGAAGTTGAATGATAGTTTTCTTGATGGCATATTTCCTGAGTTCCCTCAAGAAGGAAACTAGTCACAAAAAGAAATATTTTCCTCATAGCACTACTAATTAATATTTAGACACTAATGCTTCACGGCAAAAACTTATCAAATATTTCACAAAGTGATGCTCTTAGTCATAACTTGAACTGATAGTGAACAGACCAGTGAAAATTTATCACTATTACTGGAAAATAACATTTAAAACCTTGTCAGGTGAATTTATTTCAATATCCTAGCAGCAGGAGAATGCTACCGATAAAAACTCTGCTATATTTTCTTTGGTTTCATGATGTATCTAGGTGACTTACCAGGACTTATTAGGCTTTCTGAATTTAAAGACTTCCGCCTTTCACTAATTCTGCAATATTTTCAGCCATTGCCTCTTCAAATATTGCTTCATTCCCATATATTTTTTTTCTCCTACTGGAACTTCTATTAGGCATTATGTTGGATCATCTCCTTCCAGTTTCTGTGTCTCTACAGATTTATTTTTTCTCTTTCTCTCTCTTTCCTGCATTCTGGATAAATTTCTTCAGATCTCTCTTCCAGTCATTTATTCCTCCTTCAGCTATTTCTGCTGATTACCCATTCATTGATTTTTTTTAATGACTATATTTTTTTATTTCTCTAAGTTTTATTGGTTCCTTTCCAAATCTTTTGATTTATTATGTTTTCATTTGCTTACTTTAAACTTTTAGTCATTTTAAACATACTTATTTAATGGGCTCTATATGATAATTATCTTAAGGTTTTAGGGATTTAATCCTGCTATTTGCTGTGCTCCTGACTCTTGATAATGGGTGACTGTCTCCTTTAAATTGGGTATTGCAAACTCATCTTCACGGAGCTTAATTGTGGAAATCCTGGCAGCCTAGTTTGAAAGCTTGTCTCACCAAGGATGTTTTGTGTTTGCTTCTTCCAGATAACTCAGAGGTTTTGCTACTCTATAAATCCTTTTTATATTAATTTCTCAGTTTAGGTTTTCCCAGACCAAGTGGGTAGTATTTATTAATTTAAACCCCAAGCCAACAAGAGGCAGGACTACAGTTACAAATTCTTAGGGGTGTCTTATTTACAAGCTTCTTTGTAGTCTCCCTGTGCTGGTGGATGGGTTCTTTTCCTCATCTATGCCTTTTCTAAAGGTACAGTCCTTTAAGGATCCTGGTTTCATGGTTGGATGCTGTTCCAATTGCCTACTGTGTACAGGCTTGAGGCCTTGTAACCTGTTCTCATATGGGCATTAAAATTCAAAATCCTTATAATGCCCAGACCAATATTTAACAATATTAGTAAATACAAACATGTAAACAAAAAAATATACTGCTGTAACTCAAATTTATTTTTCAATGTAAATGTATACCATAAGTACATGTAAGAAATAAGCCATTTTTCCAAATCTAACCCAAGAACTCATTTCAACATACCTGAAACAGAAAATACTTATTTTATCTTGTTAATTAAAAAAAATTACATTTATATGGGAGGGAAGCATGCATATTTACTTTCCACTCCACCCCTAAAAGTCAAATCTCTCCAAAGATGTTAATAATGTTATAAAATGGGAAACTGACAAATAATACCAAGCTATTTCAAATGGCACTACTGGACAGGCTACAAAACTATCATATATTAAAACTCTCTTTTGCTTGAGATATGTTGTGCAATAATCCTAAATATACACACCATACAAGTACTTACTCCAACCACATTTCATTATGACATTCTTCTGTCCTCAGTTTGACAGGAATATTAAATTCCCTTTCTTGACATACTTTCTGTTTGCTTTCAAATAACCATAGCTCAGTAAGCTGGGGTAGACGCAGTAGCCACTTACTCATTCTAGTACAACACAATCTTTTCCCTTCCCTTCTCAGAGAATTTTTGAGATGAGAACTAAGGCAATCCACCCAGTAACACTAAATAATTTTACATAATCCACAATGATTTTTGTGAGGTTACAGACATATATTCTGTTTCTTTCCATTTTCAAAACTATTCAAAGCTGCATCCGTGGTGGACTTTAACAAATGCTTTCATGATATTATTTAATACTATGACATCAGAACATAAAAGTAGCTTGACAACAGACATAGGTGGACTTTGTTTATATGTCAATGTGTTTTCAAAAAGTTATGTAAATATGGTGATGGACAAACAAAAATGTACAACCCAAAATTTCACGTTATAAACTATTAAAACATCAATAAAAAAAGTTATGCAAATAAAATCCTCTTTCAAAAGCAGTAAGAGAGGTTAGAGAGGCTGTCATTTATTAAAGACACACTCACACATACAGACAAACAAAAAATCCTCTGTAGTTAATCTTTCCCAGTGTAAGCTGCCCCTTGGGTGTATGTTTTGGAAGTTTGCATGATCCTAAACAGAGTTTTCCTAAGTGAGCATGGCCATTATAAGGCAAGCTGAATAAATTTAGAAAGAGAAAATTTTATAGCACTTTTTTACACATAGGAAATAAAAGCAGTCTTAGGGCAATCCATTTCCCATTCCTTTTATTATATGCATCAATAGAAAGCATGCTTAAGTGAAGAGACTTTATTATGGCCATAAACGTGATCGATTTCTAGATTTAAAAAAAATAAAAATAAACACACATTAAATATATTCCACATTTTTGCCCTGTAATTATTTTGCACTACCGTTATTTCCCAAAGAAGGCTCGGGAGCAACAAACCTTCCTCTCCAATAAAAAGCAGGAACAGTTTTGTTAATTTGGGGAAGTTTGAGACTAAGGCAGAATTTCTCCAGTCCTGTCTATTGCATCTATCTCCACCCAACTTACTGACATACCTAATCCCATTCAACAGTCACTGAACACCAAGGCACTTGGTGGCTTAAGCTAAATAATATAAGTAAGGTTTTTAAAGAAGAAGGAAAACAAAAACCAGGTGAGAGCTTATAAACACACAGAACCTCAAGCAAGGTCATGGAATTTTCGGACTGCAAGATCCGAAACTAGATAAACCCTCTGGGTTTCCAGAAGGAAAGAACTGAAGCCCGGAGAGGGAGACCAGGTCATTCAGGCGGTCAGCAGCAGAGGTGGGGCTAAAACCCCAGGGTCCAGGCCCCCACGACGCCACCTAAAACACCGGACCCCGGGAGGGAGGCTAGCGCCAGAGCCGCCGCCCAGGCGCGGCGCTCGGAGGGCGGCACCCCGCTGCTCCCGCCCGCCCCGCGCTCCCAGGGCAGAGGCGGCGCCGGGCGGCCCGGAGAGGCAGCGGCGCGGCGGGAACAGGGCTCGGCGCGCGAGCAAGAGGGAGCGCCCCAAGTTGAGGCTGGGGAGGATGAAGGGTGTGGAGGGCAGGGGCGTCCAGAAGCGGAGAAAGGGGCCTAGCTCTCACCCTTGTCGCACGCCAGCAAGAAAAGCTTCTCATTCAGGGTGTTCTCCTCCTTCACCTCCCGCATATCCTTCAGCGCCATCACCTCGTTCGGCGACGAAGAGGAGGATGGGGAGGAAGGCAGGGAGGAGGAGGAGGCGCCGGAGAGGTCCGTGCTCGGGTACAGGGCCGCCATCATCGCGGCCCATGAGGGGGGCAGGCCAGGAGACGGGGGCGGGGCCCCCACCAGCCCCGACCCCGACCCCAGCCCCGCCCCAGGGTTGGAAAAGGGATGAGTCGTTCCCATGACTGACTCGGCGCGCGGCCCGTTGGCCCCAAAGGGCGTCGCCTCCCCTCGGAGCCAGCACTCGCCCTCCACTGACAGCCCCAGGCTGGTGGCGGCGCATGCGCGGCCCCGGGGCCAGCGCCCCC